CCCCCTCGCCGCCCTCCTCGCCAATCCGACGCCGCCCTGCCGCCGCCGGCCAACGGGAGTCGCCGCCGCCGCCCCGCCTCGTCCAATCGGCGGCCTCTGCCCGCGCCTCACGCCCAACAACAGAGACAAAGGGACCGAGTCCCGCCCGCTCGGCACCCGCCGCCAATCGGAGGCGCGGCCCCGCCCTCCCGGCCGCGACCGACGGGAGCCGCAGCCAACGGCGGCCTCGCCCTCCCTCACCGCGCGTGACGGACGGGCATCGACGCCAACCGCGCGCCCAGACCCGCCCCCGGGGCGGCCGCTTGCGAGCGAGCAGCCAAAGAAAAGCGAAAGCGCGATTCGTCTGAAGATTGACAGCGGTGCCGACCAACCAGAGCGCTGTTCTGTCCCGCCAACGGGCCGCCGCCCCGCGCACCGGGAGCGCGGCGCCGCACGCACGCGGTCCCGCCCCGTTCCCCGCGTGCGGCGCCGCGAGTCCCGGGGCGCGGGGCGCCGGCCGGCGTCCGTGCAGTCCCGCAGCGTCGGTCCCAGCCCGCGGTCAGGCGGCGGCCTCCTGCAGCTGCAGGTTGCGCTTGTAGCAGGCCAGGCTGCAGAGCGGCAGCCCGGTGCGGGAGCAGCAATAACGGCGGCGGTTGGCGCAGCCGCTGACCCCGCAGAGCGCGGCCGGCGGCACCGGGGGGGCGGTGCTGGGCAGCAGCGGCAGCGCGGCGCCCGCGGGGAAGGAGACGGTGATGAGATCGGCGGCGTTGCGGTACTGCACCACGGGGCAGGCGGCCGGCCGGGCGCGGCGCTCCCGCAGCGCCTTCACTTTGGCTTTGTGGGTCTTGGTGAGCCGCTCGATGGTTTGGTTCTTGTTCTCCTCCGCCTTCTTGGCCGCCTGCAGGCGCCGTTTGCGCGCCCGCTCCTCGCGCTTCACCAGCATCTCCTCCGTCAGCTCCTTGGCCTTGTAGCCCATGGGCAGCTCCAGCAGCGGCTGGCTCTGCTGCTTGTGCAGGAGGGCTCTCTGCGGGGCACGGCGACGTAAGGCAGCGGCACGCGGCACCCAGCCCTGAGCTGCCGTCCCCCCCGAGCCCCGTCCCGCCCCTCACCTGCCGCGCCGTCAGCAGGGATTCGTCCACTTCCTTCTTGAGCTCTCCGTTGTCGTCCAGCTCGCCCTTCTCCAGAGCATCCAGCCAACGCTCCTCTTCCTCCTCCTCATCCTCGCGGGTGGGGAAGCAACTCTCTGAGTCCAGGTCCGGCAAGGGGGAGGGGTCCAGGTTGCTGTCCTCATCTGAGCCGGGCGGTGAAGGACAGAGAATCACCGTAGGAAAAGCCACGTTCGCTCTGTCCTGGGGTGGCGTCATCCCCACACCATGGTGGACGACCCACGCTGCCCACTGGTGCGGAAACCTCGCTCAGCGGGGCCCAGTGCCCAGTGTGGGGGCACTCCCAGCCCACCCAAAGCCTGCAGGAGGGACGAGTACCAGCCCAGCCCTGCCTCAGGCCCCCAGCCCACCTCCTCCCCCCACGCTCTTCCCCTCAGTGCTTACCCAGCCAGGCCCGGTACTGCTCAATGGGCACTCCTTCGGTGGGCTCATCCTCCTCGTCCACCACCATCAGCGGGGAGGGGGAACTCTGTGCTTCAGGGACCACGGTGAAGGTGGGCACACTGCAGGGGGGGAAATGCGCTGCCCCTGAGGTCGGGCAGAGCTGGGGGGCACCAACCTGGGGGACTGTGCTGCTGGGATATGGGGACGCGGGGCAGGAGCCAGGCTGGTCCCAGCACCAGGACCTCCCCACGGACATGGGACTGGGGGCCCGGCCAGGCAGGGACCACGATCCAACCCCAGGATGCCCCTCTCACCATCCCTGCAGAGACACGACGAAGGGCCCGGTGGGGCAGAGCGCGGCCCCTGGCTCTGGGGGGGGGTTTCGCCCTCACCTCTTGGTACCCAGGATCTGCCCCCCCAATTTGATCTTCAGCTTCAGCTGCGGTTTCCGCGGGGCGGCCGTGGGCTGCGGGGCCTCGGGCACTGCCGCGGCCTCGTGGTGGTGCTTCTTCTTGTGCTTCTTCTTGTGCTTCTTGTGCTTCTTCTTGTGCGCGCCGTGCCCGCCGCCATCGTCCTCCTCACCTGCGGGAGCCGCCATGAGGCCCCGAGCCGGGAGCGGACCCTCGCCTAAAGCCCGAAGGAGCCGCAGCCCCTCTGCCCGGCCCCGGCCTCACCGTGCTCGCCGCCTTCCATCCTGCCCCGCCGCCACGCTTTGCTCATCGGCCCGGGCCGCCCGCGCCCGGCGGTGGTGCCGCTGATGGAGCCCGAAACCGCGCCGTGGGGGAACGCATTCCAGACGGACCCACTTCCGCCCGTCGCTCAGCAAACATCCGGCGCGGGCGAACGGGCGGGGAGAGCGCCGCCGCCGCCATCTTTGAAGCGGGCAGAGTCCGCCGGACAGCGCCGTCCGGGTGGGAAACTGCAACCGCGCGGCCGCGGGGCCGGGTCCCGCGTTCAGCCCCGGCCACGTGCGGCGCGTCCGTGGGGTTCGGGGCCGCTTCCTGCGGGCAGCCCCACGCGCGGGGCAGCAGCGCCTGAACGCGGACACGCGCACGGGCGGTCGTGCACCGACACACGCGGCTGCGCCCACGCGCATTGCCACTCACGCACCCCGGTCGTGTCCCCCCCCCCCTCCAAGCCCGTGCAGCTGCAGCCTTCAGTCGCCCTTTGTCCGCCGCTACCGGTGGCTCCGCGCCCGCCCCGTGCCAGGACCTGCCCGGTACCGTCCCCGCCTCCCCCCGGCTGCCGGAGGGTCCGCGGAGCGGCGCGGTGCCGGTGCGATGTTCTCCCGGTCCCAACGCGGTCGCGCGACCGTGGCGCGGGGTTCGGCGCTGCAGACGGAGCTGCTCCGCGCCCCGCAGGTACGGGCGGAGCCACGCGCGTCCGGGAGCCCCGCGGCGGTGGGAGCGGCGGGATCGCGCCGCCGCCGCCGCCGGGAAGGGCGAAGGCGCCGCCGCCGCTCCCACCCGGCCCGTCCCGTCCGGGCTGTCCCTCCCGTCCCGCCGGTACTACGGGGCGCTGCCGGTCCGGGAGGAGCGGATCCCACGGCCCCTCCCGGCCTCGAGGCGGCACCGTGCGCCGTTTGCCCTGCGGGAGAGCCGCGCTGCGTTAACCGAGCTGGGATCGCTCGTACCGAGTTGTGCCGCGTTGTCTCGAGCTGTGCTAAACTGTGCTGAGCCGTGCTCTGTAGGGCCGCGCTGTTCTGCTCTGTGCTGCGCTATGGGGCAGCCCTGTAGGGCTGTGCTGTGTTGTGTAGGGCCGTGCCGTGCTGCTCCGTGCCGTGCTCTGCAGCCCTGTCCCGTGCTATATGGGGCTGTGCTGTGCTCTGTAGGGCCGTGCCGTGCTACTCTGTGCTGCGCTATGGGGCCGTGCCCTGTAGGGCCGTGCCGTGCCGCTCCGTGCCGTGCTCTGTAGGGCTGTGCTGTGTTATGTAAGGCCGTGCCGTGCTCTGTAGCCCTGTCCCGTGCTATGTGGGGCTGTGCCGTGCTCTATAGGGCCGTGCTGTTCTACTCTGTGCTGCGCTATGGGGCCGTGCCCTGTAGGGTCGTGCCGTGCTGCTGTGTGTTATGTAGGGCCGTGCCGTGCTCTGTAGCCCTGTCCCGTGCTCTGTAGGGCCGTGCCGTGCTCTATGGGGCCGTGCTGTTCTGCTCTGTGCTGTGCTATGGGGTCGTGCCCTGTAGGGCTGTGCTGTGTTATGTAGGGCCGTGCCGTGCTCCATGGGGCCGCGCTGTTCTGCTCTGTGCTGCGCTATGGGGCAGCCCTGTAGGGCCGTGCTGTGCTCTGTAGGGCCGTGCCGTGTTCTATAGGGCCGTGCCGTGCCGCTCCGTGCCGTGCTCCGTAGCCCCGCACCGTTCCGTGCCATGTGGACCCGCACCGCTCCGCACCGTCCCGACGCGGCGCCCCTTCCCCGTCCCGCCGCCAGGGGGCGCTCTCACCCCGCACCCCCATCCCCGCCCAGCGGTGCGGTGCCGCCCTCTGTAACCGGAGCCGCCGCAGCCGCCGCCGCCGCCGCCACCGCCGCCGCCGCCGCCGCCGCCGCCGGAGGAATGCGGGGGGCGGACGGCGATCTCCGCCTTTCCTTGCGCGGTGCGGAGCCGTACGGAGCTGCGGGACCGGGAGCGGGGCAGGTAGCGGGAAGTTGGGGGCTGCAAGGGGTGCGGGAAGCACCGATAGGGGGCAGCGGGAGGATGATGATGGGGGGGGGGGTGCCACGTCCCCAAAGCCCCGCACCCCCTTGATCCACCCGCGCTGCCCTTTCCCCGCACAACGGCTGTTTGTTTCCTCGCTTTGGGGGGAG